CGAATCTCTTCTTCATGCACTTTCATACGAAATGAAAGTCTCCCTAACAATGTTATTTCAAGAAATTAATTGAAATCCAGTTTTTCTTCGTATCTACACTATAAGAAATTATAAGAGTTATTATAAAATTGTTGAATTAGATTCTTACAAAGATATGGATATTTATCTTTGATCCTTCTAAGTTATGTTGGAATTGGGTGAAGCGCATATTTTTTAAGGGCTACATTATTGGGCTAATGCATAACATAAGGTATCTGTTCACCTGATTCGATAATATATTTCCATTGTCACATTTGACAGTAAAAGTGATCAAAGTTCGGGATTTTTTTCGATTTACTCGTCTCTTTCGTGATTCAAATTAAATTTGACTCTAAAATTTAAATCTTCACATTCCGCGAACTAACTTTGAAGCAGAATATTATACTCTGCATCGCGGAGCCTATAGATATTCCGGAGGTTGGAATGCCTCTTGCTTGATTCCTATTGAAGAAATATAGACTATTTATAGTAGATGACCGATATCTTTTTTGTATGAATTCAGCAAAGTGTACCTCTTTGTTCTCATCTGACCCGACAACCTTTTTCGGTTGTGATGCGAGTTATAGGTTCATAGAAAGGATCAATGTACCTTGTCATAGGCTAGTTTTTTGTCTCATTTCTATTTAATCGAACCATTTAGGATTAAGCAGGGGGAAAAGTTGGTGCTGTCATCCTATCTTATATCTAAAAATTGCCTTTGACCCTTCACATGTACTTTTTGCCTTGTCTTGCCTTATAGAATTATTTTATTTGTTGGATTGACGTGAACAAAACTTATTCCACTTTGATGGTTAAGGTTTTGGCACGAGTTTTACTATTATGGTATAGGAAATGCATTATCTATTATATTTTGTTTTTATTTACATTTAATTGTGATATCAAATTATGAATTATTATATGATTCTATCTTTTAATAGTTAATATTTTCTATTCAAATTTCCATACCCAGTACACTTTTCCCCCTCCATTCCACCATTATTGCCTGGTATACTTCAATAGCTAATCATATATAAAATTGTTAAATAGAATACTTATTAGCATCATGGAGCCTCATCCACTCTACATTACCAAGTTTTCTAGTGGCCAATTATTGATCTAGACAAATTTGGTTCATAGGAATCACTGCTGGAATGATTTTTGCTTGGAAGGGAAATTTATGTATCTATGCCTTTATTGTGTTATTCTGATTAATACATACCCCAGTACAGTGAACTAAAGAACGGGCCTATGTGTAAAGCTGAACCTCAATTTTCGTTTCTTCATCTTAAAAGCGTAGTTAAAAACATAATGAGATATGAGTTTTTAACTCAAAAGCATAAGCAGGTTTCTAACTATTCTTGATTTTTCAAGAAAGTTTATTTTTTGATGACAAGATATAAGTAAATCCAATGATACTACCCATCTATACTTCGATATCTAACGAAGAGACTATCTATTATTCTCTCAAGCTTAATTATCTACTACTAACAAGTTATACTTACACTAAGAGTTAGTATTTGCTAACATTTTCACAAAACATATAAATGCTATATTTTACATCATGACTATTATATTCGCATCTTCTGATCTTTCTAGTAGCTTTATTTGATCTGAAGAACTTAGTATCATTATGATCACTTTTTTCTCATCTAATAATTTCTCCAAGATTATTTCCAAGCTTATTATTCCATTTTATACTTATACAGCTGGACAAATCTACAGCTCCTTTTCAAAAGGTTTCCTCCTGAACTTATCAAAAGTCATCTTGTGATTGAATATCCATTGAAATTTTATGTTTTGCGCCATCCTCTAGAAAAGGGACAAACTGAAATAAACCATCTGCGTACCTTTAGGCCTGAGTATAAAGTCCATATGTCCCTATAGTAGAAACATAATTTCCTCACAATGAGTGTTGTTGGCTCGGTAAAACTGTATATCTAATTAGTTTTGACGTGTTAGTTCATTTCACTCTGCGCTATTTTATCGAGTAATATATTTGCTATGGGATCTGATAATTGTCTGTATTTGGAGCTGGCAAAAGGTTTGGTAGATAAATATCAACTAAAGTAGACGGGAAAAGCTAGGTGCTTAAATATAGTCGACATAAAACATCTCCATCAGTCATTGTGCCCGTGGAACTCATATGCTATTGGTATTTTACTTTATACTCAAATATATTTTGAAAATGGAGTGAGTAGCAAATTGTTTTATACTCTTCCTTTAATCATTAATATTGCTTAAGATTCCAGAAAGAAGCCCTCCAGGTGCTCGAATAATTCGAGTTGAGGCCATGCTTTCAAAATTGGACTCCATTGAGGACGTGCTAGTTGAACCCAGCAACCTTGAATATTGGCTTGGTCGTGTCACCATAATCTCCAGTGGCTTTGTTCACTCAACCCGGCTGACCGACAGAAATTACACCTCCTCTAGGCGCTCGCTGCCCCGAGGCATGTTCGAGGTAGATCGCACCTCAGGCTGGCTAACAATAGGACCTGCAGGCAGTCTGGACCGCATGCATTTGCTCCCAACTGACCAACTTCTTGTCGAAGTACTTGCCATTCTGCAGCCCACTTTATCCAGCGGGGGTTATATTAAAATGTGCACAATTAATGTAAGTTATAAATGCAAACCAAGGTATTGTTTAGACTTCAAAGATTTTGATTTACATTGGCTTAAACTCATATAATTCATTTCTCTCATCCATTCTGAATCTAACATTTTTCCTAATC